TTTGCTATTTCAATCAGCAATAATAAATAGTACCTACTATTCTGTAGGCTTAGGCTAGGTCCCTAGTAGTAGCACTACAGTAGGCCTAAGCCTAGCCTATACGCATATAAGCGTTCCCCTAGGCTGGTATTCGGGCTAGGCCCTAGGCCTAAACCAAGCCTTAGTAGTATTCTCTATGGTAGACCATAAAATACGCAAGGATAACAGAAAGGATTTTAACCAAACATTGTGATAAGCCCCAATCGAAATACATTATTTAAATGGGCCTAAAGTTTTATGTCATAAATTTTATCGTAACTGTTCGCATCACACGCTTTTTCTCATGATCGCGACGTCGACTTGGCAAAAAAAGCCAAAATCGTGTCGGTCATTTCTATTGCCTAATCATGACGTAATATCATGTACCGTACCTTTAGCAATTGGAAGTTCCGATACGGTACCGTATCTCTAGCCACGGCGTTTATTAATTCAATTGAATTATTCCTCCATGATTGAATTTACGTCGACTAAACCCTCTGTTACTGCGTACGTAAACGTATGGCGGTTCAACTGTGTCATAATTACTACGCGTAGTACGCGTACTACACGTACTACGCGTACTACACGTAGTACGCGTACTACGTACCGGTATACTACACGTACTACGCGTAGTAATTATGACCAAAGAGTATAAATAGAACAAGAGAGCCAACAACGCTCATTGAGAGCGTAAAAAAACGATACGCTCTACGCAGCTAGTGTAGGACGCCAACTAACGCTTGTATGTGTTTTATTACCATAGAGCTATTAAACAACTAGAGTGCTGACAAGATGGCGCAGCAATGCAGAGTTATGTATGTGTACTATCCAAGATGGCCGTCGTAGTAAAGCGCCACCTTCAGGCTTAGTATACATATTACTACATATTAATAAGCCCTCTGACTGACTATTATATCATTAATGATAATGAGTAATAGTAATAACAAATTATTAAACTATTGTAGCCAAAACGAGGCCAAGTGTAGAATCAAAAATAAAGTACCAAGGAATGAAAATTAAAATCGTATACATTACACCCAAACCCCGCAACGCTCGAGTTTCAAACATACGTGTAACTAGCTGTACTGAACTTTCTGAGGAAATTGAGGGGGCAATTGCAAACGATGGTGCTTAGCGAGATTTGATTGGCTAAATCTATGGCAGCCATCTTGGATTGTACACACAAACAGTTCTGCGTTTTTCAAACATCGAATACATTGCGGTTAGCGCTCTAGTATTCTTATTATATCTCTATGTTTATTACCCAGTACTCCACCGCGCACGGTAGGTTTGTCTGTTTATCTGTTCTCCACAAGATACTGTACTTTTGTTTTCTGCTTACTGAGTTTATAGCGGGCGTACTTCTACCGCGCTGCGCAGCGCTGCACTGGGTAATAAAAAGAATATACAACCGTTAGTGGGCGTCCTACACAGGCGTGACTTTTTTACGAACGGGACTTTGCTCTCTTGTTCTATTTATACTCTTTATTATGACACAGTTGTACCACAGTTGTAAAATTGTGTCAAAATACCACGTGTTAGCATCATGACCATCGTAAACCAATTAGTTGTATAGCGCCACCGTTTACTGTACGTATAACGTCTAATACCTACTGAACTGCATCTAACATTATTTATAATAATTTATTTTTGAAATTACACCTTTACATCGATGGAACACATAGGAGTGGTGCATCTATATGAAGGCTATAATCTATAAAAGGCTAATTGGGGTTTGTGTGTCCGGGATGTTCTCCTTTGTTACTGAGCCGATTTCAACCAAATTTTCACTGAATTTTCACATTTGAAAAATTCTTGATCACCCCCTGCTGTATGTTGAAATGTTTAAGAAACAAATACATTAAAAATACTTTTATGCCCACCCAATTGAAAACGATGATTATTGAATAAACACAGGCTTGATCTGTAATGTACAAATATTTCTGTTTATTGTTTTAATGCTTCCATTAATTGATTCTGCTAATAAGAATGATGATGATGATTTCTCTCAATTCTTTAATGACATTGATTCAGCTAACGAGAATGATGATGATGACGACGACGACAGCTACGAACACAGACGTTCAGTTTTGATTTCAGTTCCACCATAACACCAACGATGACAACTAGAGCACCAATGTAGTAGTAAAACTTTATTTATTCACGAAGCACAAATCAACAAATATAATGCTGTTTTTCATTGTCGTCGTGAGATAGCCGTACCTTACTTACAATTAACATAGATTAGGCCTACACCGTACGGTACATAATCAGAAAGCAAAAGTTACACACAAATTAAATAATGTAGATAGAAAGTTAACAATTTAGTAAAATAAAAGTAATCTATACCTAACAAATGGCAAAAATAAATTATCGAAATGAAGAAGATCCATTCCAAAAAAGTAAACTGTAAATTACGAAAAAGAATTGTAAAATGTGTATAAAACAAAGCAAGTAAACATTAAATTAGTGATTTGTACAATGTTCATACTATTATACTTTGCTTTCAATTATTAATACATATGTGGTACTGTACATCAGTGCCTAATCTATTCCATTCGATAGCACCACGATATGAAATACTTTTTTCACGATATGAAATACTTTTTTGTAATCAGTCTTTTGCCTTTAGTTTGCTCTGATTACCGCCATCCGAAGGACGGGTACACAACTAGTAATAGAATAATACAAAGAGGCAAACATTATTTAGTATTGTCTTCTATGTTGTTATTATTGTTCTTCCAAGAGCATAGGAATACGAAGATACATTTTTTTTTTATTATTAGGCCGAAAATGCAAACATTTTCATGAGCATAATTTTGTTCTACAGTATGCCTACAGGCCTCATATTTCTTAAATACAGATCAACAGGACTGATGACAGTATAGCAGAGGTTATGTGTGATACGTCTAGGCCCACATTAGCTTCTGATACTCCTGCATTTTAAATTCTATTTTTTGGGTCATTTTCCCCTTTTAGTGGGGTTACTTAGACCCTTGATACTTCAAATTGGTATAGAAGCATGAAACTTGGTATACAAACTCACATCGGCAATTCAACAATTTTAAGATTTGAGAGCATTTCAGATTTGACCTTTGACCTCAGAAAAATGCCGATTCCTCATAACTCGAGAAATATACGTCCTTCAAACATAAAAATAGTGGAAAAAGATGGAGAAGTACTACTTCCTATTCAACTTTAATAGGAACATGTACTCGAAACTGAATACTTTAGAAGATATTTGCGTACTTTGCCAGCCCTATCAGAAATACCGGTACATGTTCACCGCTGTACGCCGGGAAAATAACGAGATATCCCATAGTGTTTTGATGAAATAATTGTGTGACGTTTATGTGACTATTTTATTGGTTGAAATATACATGTAATACCAAATATTTTTCCACCTTATTTGAACATTTAGTGGGTCCACCTGCTAGAATAGAAGTTTGATGTCAAGGAATTTCAGTCTGAGCTTAGTTCAAAAAAAAAAAAAAAAAAAATCACTAACAAAAACAAATAGAGTTCTCTGTGCTACTGCATTGCTAATTACTGAAGAATTTGGTCACTTTGCTTCTTCCTATGTACTGTAGATTTAAGTAAGTAAATATACGTCCTACAAACATGAACTCCATACACCGCAGCCGAAATGAATCGACTCGGCTGAAACGACTCTATTCGAGGGAAGTCGAGCGGATTTTGCTTCGAGCGGATGTCAATTTCAGCTGAAAAGGATCCACTTTTTTGCAAACAACGGGCTGTGCAAGTTGTACGAATTACTTTTTCCTATTTGAAGCTAACAATTTGATAGTTTGTCATCCTCTTCGGGTTCAAAGTTATTCGTAGCCGGCATTTTGAAAGGGGGAGCCGTTATGCACGGTACGCAGACTGTCTCTTATACACATCTAGATGTGTATAAGAGACAGCCTCAGAAGTCAACAAAGTGACATTTCCAGTCATTTAGAAATCAACATTTCTGGGACCCCCTTTTTTTTGGGGGGGGGGGGGAGCTCATTTACAAACATTTTTAACCCCCCCCCTCCTTCAGAATTTCCTGTAGCCAGAGAGAGGAGGAAGTATGTGATTTTTATAGCAATTAACAGTCAATTAACAATGTTATGTGCACTTCGTTGAGTTTTGCTTACTTCAATGGACTAAAATAGGCTATACTTTGTTACTTCTTAATTCTTCCTCTATGACAAAAATATTAAATTTTCTTAGTATAAAATACCCAAGGATTTGAACGGAATACCCAAGAACCTAAGACCAAGTCAAAATACCCGCGCACGGTCGGTTTGTCTGTTTATCTGTTCTCCACAAGATACTGTACTTTTGTTTTCTGCTTACTGAGTTTATAGCGGGCGTACTTCTATAAATAATAAAAAGAACATACAACCGTTAGTGGGCGTCCTACACAGGCGTGACGTTTTTACGAACGGGACTTTGCTCTCTTGTTCTATTTTATACCAAAGATACTAGAAATACAAGATAGAATTCTCGCGTTGTAAAAATGAGGCGGAAGTCGTGCCCAACGTAGGCGGCGCCCTTCTTTTTAACCATGCAAGTGTCCTATACTTCGTGCCCAACGTACAGGGCGCCCTTCTGTTGCTAAGTATATCCAGACGCAAAAGGCGCCCTTCCTTTTCCACGAATGGAGGAAAACTTTTTCACTAAGAGTGCGTCCGGCCATACGATTCTGCGCTGTATTGTTGTTTTATTCTTTACTGATTCATGATTATGCTTTAATTGTTTTGTGTATTATTTGGATAATAGCAACGATTTCTACCGCCACCAAGGAGGTTGTGTATTCACCGATGTCACTATCTGGGTGTCTATTCCAGTTTGTTTTTATATCTAGTATCTTTGTTGAGAATTGATAATAAAAATACGCGACGACTTGGTAACGAAAGTTTGGCACAAGTTTTTGTAGATCCAGCTGTAGGGGGCGTTCCATTTTTCGTATTCCCACCATGCATTTCTGTGGAACACGGTGGAACACTTTTTTTGTGTCGAGAACTTCTATCTTGTATTTCTAGTATCTTTGTTTATACTCTTTGGTGTTATTCGGTAGAAATTGATGTGTGGCTAGGCATTGTCCTAACCCCTTCCAATCATCAAGATGTCCATTATTGTTCTAGTTTCATCATTTATTTTACATTCAGCATCGGCTACAATATATAAATGCGGCAATACATCACAATCGTTATCGTGAGTGTGATCGTTTTTTGTTTGTTTTCTTTTAGCACGAGATAGTTTTCCCAAACTAGGCCTAGGGCCTAGGCCCCTATAATAGGGTAGGCCTAGGCCCTACCGGGAACCAGTCAATTCGAACGATGTAAAGTCGAGCGAATGCTATTTCGAGGGGGTCCCGGGTCGTTTCGGCCCTGAGGTCGATTCGGTCGTGTCGTTGGGCCGAAACGACCCGGGACTCTTTTTTTTTTTTTTTTTTTTTTTACAATTGTTTTTTCTTTTTTTCCCTTTTTTTTTACAATTGTTATTGTTTCAGATATTTTAGTGAAAAGTCAAGTGTACAAGACAGTACAATTATATTATCAATTTTTAAATGATCCTTAATAAAGGCTTTTGTGTTTTGTTGCGTTATTTTAATTGTTAAAATCAAATATGTCTGAACTTCATATGTTTGTATTCGCGGCTAGTAATTTCATTTATAGACCGTGGGTTGAGGATCGAAAACGTTCAATTCTGTGACCCACCAATCCGGGCTACCTGGCTTTTGCACAAAAATGTCAATACTATTAAATTGTAACATAATTTGATTGTCGGCAATCGTGAATTTGGGGAAACTGTAACCAAAAATGAAAATTTATATCAAAAGTTGCTATGTAACTATAGCCAATCAGAAGACTACTAACAATGAAGTTTGGCTTAGCTGCAAGGCCCTCAGCCAATCACAAACTACCTTCTATGCCGTTTGTCCAATGTAAATAGTCCAATGTAAATATTACCCAGTACTCCACTGCGCACACGGTCTGTTTGTCTGTTTATCTGTTCTCCACAAGATACTGTACTTTTGTACAAAAAAAATGAGACATTCTCAAAAAAAAAACAAAAAAAAACAACCTTTTCAGAACTAGGCCTATCTACATTGTACAGTCAGCATTACTTTAATATGCAATTCTTCAAACAATACTTCATCATTACCATCATTTTAGAATTTAAAAAGACAACAGTACATCATCCTAATCCAAATCGCAAATATGGATCCATCGGGGGCAGTTCCAGAGATGTCAAAAAGGGGGCGGGGGAAGGGACGGGAGATCGAGTCTGCACAGCGCGGGGGCGTCATCAGCCCCGTCACCTTTTTAGGCAGTTAAAAAAGAGTAAAAAATGATCGCCCAAAACACCTCAGACGTTACATTCGAGCGTCTGTCTAGAAAAGAAATATTTCAAAGACCTCCCCTTAGGGCGTTGTTATTTCGATCGGCCCCATTTTCGGTCCCATTTTTTCCCCTGTCGGACATCTCTGGATCCACTCCTGCCGGCAGGGGCCCTGTCCATTTACGGTAAATGAAATATTAAAGCTTAAACAAAGTTGAATAATAAAAAAAAAATCGGAACTATAGACGACAGAGGTGAACACACACGTACACATTCCCTGCCATGACATGTTTGCAAATAGCCAGTCTAATTTTATCATCTGACCTACTTCACTCTTTGCACTAGTGCGCCCACACATGCCTGAAGGCGGCATACAAAGGATGTCTGCTTCACCCTAAAGAGTACCGTTGAACCTGTTTGTGTGCGTTTCTTTCCGATTTTTATAGTTAGTTTCCATGCAACAATTGGCCTTGTGAGTGAAATTTCCGGCTTAATTGAACGGCCTGAAACAGCCATTAACATTGTAGGCCTATAAATTTTACTTAAACCATATTTTACTATTTCCATTTATTTGTGTATTTTTTATAAACATGCCTAAACAAAATATATATCTGCAATGGAAATAAAACAAACAAGAAGATACAAAACATGTGTCTGCTTTACCTCAACATAATTGTTTCTTTCCTCAAATTACATTGTAGTTAATAATTTCTTTAGTTAATTTCTATGCAATGAGTGATTTTGTCGGCCTTATGAATACAATAATATATTTGCTTTATTTTCATTTTCACATCATTCAGTATATCTTAATTTATTTTATATAGGCCTATGTATTGTTATAAATAGAACATTTGGTATGGTCACAATGTAAATGGAG